CGAAGCTACGAGAATACTTTTTGTGCGCAAAGAAAACAATAATAACATAATTTATTAAACAATTCTTCTCCCCGAGTTAGCGCCTTCCGTTGTTTACGTTCAGCTGCACGCGCTGTCTACTGAACGTAAACAGCGCTGATTACATTGATAACATTCTGGGGTACTCTCCAAAATGGCGGAAGACGCTTTGGAATACACACTTTGTGCTACTCACTGAAAATTTCACTCTGAAACTGAGGCAAAACACAGAAGAAGCTATGCAAGATAATTTAGCAAAATGTCACCACAGACATGCTTTTCCAATGATCATTAGCTATTTTACATGCTAACAATCAGCCCGACAGGCAAATGTTTCCGCCCATGTTACATTACCTGCTTCTGTGTCCCATTCTGAGGGAAGACATGTTGCTCTTGTGGGAGTGTTGTGTTGGTATCTGATGCTGTTCTCTGCAGGAACGGTGGTGTGCCATTGGATAGGCTGCGTGGTTGGCCTGCTGGGTAAACGCTGAAAGACGGTTCCAAGGGGGAGTCTCCTGGGTCTGAAAGCTTGGGGAAAGTCAGTGAGCGAATGTTACATGGGCGGTCTGCATCAATCTGTCCATGGGGGGTCCCCACAACCCCACCCCGGTCCAAGTCCAGCAGTCCAACCAGTCCATTGGGTTTATGGAAGATTCCTGCTTTGGCCTGAAGAGGAGGCATATTACTAGGAGAAGTGGGGCGATGTTCTGCTGGAGGAAGCTGAGGTGGTGAAACGGACGACTGCGGTTGGCTCTGCAGAATATTCCGCAACTCCTCTTTGTCGTCCAGTGTTTTAAGCTCAAGTTTGTCAAAAGGGTCCTCCTCTCGCTCAAAGTCAGCTAAGTTCAGACTCTGTGGAGCCGGGTTGCTAGGTGCTGGTCGTGTCGGTCCAAAAGATGGGGCTGGGAGAGGCGTGAGAATTGCGTTATGCCGTAGGCCAGCTAAAACCGGGTTCAATGCTGGTGGGACAACGTCCTGCTCATCAGAGGGGCGTGCTTTCTTCCCCCCAACCAATCCAACATCTGCTTCCTGAGCAGCAGCCTGCCTTTCGTTTTCAGAGTCCGTCCGGGCGGCTTCCGCTGCTCGAGCCTCAGCAGCTCGCGCTTTGGCAAGTTCTTCCCCCCACTGAACACTCCGCCTCTCTAGACTAAAGTCATACTGAAGAAAAAAGCAAAGCGTTAATTATTTCTGACAAACATTTGTATAAGGGAAAGTTAAAGGGAAATTTGACTTACTTGCAGATCCGAAAGTATGGCATTACAATCAGACATACAGAAGCCAATGGGAAGACCCACTTTTGAGGGACAGCGGAACTTCTCATTGAGCTTGAAAGGAACATCATCAAGGTAGCTGACGGGTCCTTGAACATCGAGTGAAGTAACAGAAGAACATGGAAAAAAAATATTTTAAAATGAGCTATTTATTTATTCTGTAGCCTATTTTTATTTTCGACAAATGATTGACTCACCATTGTTGTGGATATCTGATCCAGATTTCCTCGCAGCCATTTAGAGTAACTAAAGAAACAGACAAACAACATAAATTCATACAAACTGCAGTCAGTTACCTATTTTTTCCATCCCTACACTGTCCTCTACAGAAGTTACAATTTTTGAACATAGCCTAAACATTACAATCAATATCCAATCCTTCATAACTAACAAGCAAGGTTTCAGATATGTTTTTAATCTGTCAAAATTGGTTGATAAATACAAGGAAGACAGAACTGTGTTTAAGATAACAACAGAATTGGTTGCTTGTCATTATGCCAAGTTATTTGTGTCACTATTGAAATATGTTATTTAAATCAACTTCATTGGCTAATATACGCGTGTAGTAATCTAACTATTGATCTTAATTCCATAAACCAAACTGAATCTATGTCATAACCAATGAAAAACATTACAGATATGACCAGTAATCTGTTTGACCTATATAAAAACTACCAGTAAAATTCTGAAACTCTCTTTCCAACGCTGTATTTATTTGATTAAAAATATAGTAAAAATCTGCAATATTGTGAAATATTACTCCTAACGTTAACGTAATACATTTAAAATATAATGTATTTTTAAAATATTATTTCAGCAGCCATCACTCTACTCTAGTTGAAAAGACGATAATTTACTTGAAATAGAAATCTTTTGCAACATTATACTGTCTCTTTTAAAATATATAACATAGCTTCACAAATGTATTTAGCATACTTTTTGCATAAATTGTATGAAATGTATAGCATTATAATCCTAACAGTCAGACATTCCCAAAAGAAATATGGGAAAGCAACAAATAATAATAATTATTCATGTTTAATTTGTTTAAAAACATTTTAACAATGTTTTTGTTGTTGTCTAACGATGATTTTAAAAAAGTTAATAAAAATGTGTATGTATATTGGTAATCAGATACTTCTGAGAGAAAAACATTGGCAGATCACTAGAAAACACAGCAGTGTCCAACAGCATTAAATTACAAGCATTTCTTGGACTTTCTTAAAGTGAAACAGTAAACAGATAAGCTTCTACATTTACAGGAAGTTTACCACCTAAAACATACCAATAAAGTAAGCACAACTGATCTATGTGATGATAACTAGGGAACTAGCACAAAAGTATATCACATGCTGACAAATAGGCTGATAAAACCGCTTTTGAGGTCATTTCACCACCCACGATCTCTTACATAAAAAGTATAGCAGCTGATCAGAAAAAAAAAAATCATAACCAGTCTGTTAACTACATACAGCTAACAGATGTTGCGTAATAATAAAGACAACGAGAAATTCATTCAGACAGCAAACTAGATGAGTCCTATACCAGCTCAATTTCAACAATAAATCTTTAGATATAACTGTTACTGAAAAGACAGTCTTGCGACAAGCTGGTTTATTTTGAAAATGGATGATGATGATGATTACACATATTTCTCCCTGGCTCCTTACCAAGCTTCTACGATTTCCTCCTTTTCTGCCAGTCATATCAATCAAATAACTAAAATATTTAAGACCTACAACCAAAGTTCTGGTACTTAAGAACTAAACAAGCACGGAAGTGAATGTGGACGTTTGGTTAAAAACAACTGTCTAGTTTTGTTTCAGTTCAGGTTAGCGAAGCGACCTAACAGGGCCCGACTTCCCCTGCCACCGCCCCTCAAACTGTCCCTGCGTGTCCCACCGGTGTCCTTACCAGTATCTGCTCTGTCTTCAGTCTCCAAATAGGTCTCTCACTTGTCCTTGGACATAAAAGCTCCGGTCGACACTCTCAGATGAGGAGATTTACTGAAAACCTTGTATATTTCCTGCTTCATCGCGGAACGCCATCTTGGTTTGACCGCCTCCTTTGGTTTCTGTGTGACGACATGCGTTGCACTGAATGACGACAGGTTCGACCAATCAGAGAAGAGCTGGGGAGGAGACGTCATCTGTGTCGGCCTTTGCACATAGGTTCAGCACGGGTTTGAGTCCATCAACCTGGAAAAGGGATGTTTTGATCTATTTTAGTTTGTTGAATATTGTTTATTTGTGAACTGTAATAATAATTAAGAGATTAAATCTATCTATCTATCTATCTATCTATCTATATGTTTGTGTGTCTGTCCATCCATCCATCCATCTTTCTTTCCTTCCTTCCTTCTATCCAGCCATTAGATTACACTTTCAAAGTTATATATATATTTCTAAGTTCTAGTTCTTAAATGTGTGTATAAATACACAAATTCTTGTTTAAATACATGTAAAAATAATTAAACAGGTGATTAAAGTAGGCAAATAAATTAAATAAATTGGTGGACAACTGGAAAATGTTTAAGGAAATGCTAAACTCATCCTATTTATTTTCCTTTGATCACTCATTTATTTCTGAATGTAGTTCCACATTTTTTTTTCCTCTGCGCAACATGCTAATGAGAGGGTGTCAACCATGGACTTGGTCGGGGTCATGTCATAGCAGGGGGTGCGGCTTTCCTGCTGACAGGAGATGCATGGTGTAAATCCAGTACGGCCTACGTAAAGTCACTTTTTCCGTTTAACAGAGCAAGATACATAAAAAACTGAGCTGTATTGTCCGTACAGTATCTGTGACTTTACAAACGACCCAAAGAAATGGCCAGTGTCGTTTCCTAACGTCATTTTTTGTAACCCGATTGAGTCTCCAGCTAGAGACAACTGTAATATCAGTATCCCATGGTCATCGTGAGATGACTGGTATGAAGTGGTTTAATCAAGGAACAGACAGTTTTTTCCCATTAGTTATCAGAACAGAAAATACAGGCGACAAAAGTAAGCAAATGACGGTTCAGTGTTGCAATTAAGAGCTATGTAAGTGTAACGGAGGCCAGCGAGTAGGTGCTGTGCAGGTAAACCTCACTCCACTGATCTCAAGAGACGCACTAGCGACTGACGTTAGCGGCTGTAGCCATTTAGCCTCCTTGTTAGTGCATCCGCCTCCCATGCCGGAGATCCGGGTTCGAGACCCAGGCAGAGCGAGAACGAGGTGCGGCGGAGCAGACCCGGGAGAAAGGGGTTACATAAGCATTACTATTTTACATTGGCCACTTAAAATAATTTAAGATTTAGCTCTCTCATGATTATAATTACAAAACTAACACTATGAAAAAGTGTAAGATAATAATCAGTCACCTTGACTGATGAAGTTAATACGCATGCGCAGGCAAACGCTCAAGCGCGTCACACACGATCTTCATACTCTTGCATAATTGACACCCTCTCATTAGCATGTTGCGCAGAGGAAAAAAAAATGTGGAACTACATTCAGAAATAAATGAGTGATCAAAGGAAAATAGTTAGGATGAGTTTAGCATTTCCTTAAACATTTTCCATTTGGTCACCAATTTATATTATTTATTTGCCTACTTTCATCACATGTATAATTATTTATTTATGTATTTAAACAAGAATACGTGTATTTATGCACACATTTATTTATTTGTGTATTTATTTATTTGTTGTTTTTGCAGGTTTCGTCCTCCATACACTTCTAAGTTCTAAGTATATAATTAAGTTCTAGTTCTATTTCATCTAGGCTCATTTGTTTTTTTTTCCTTTAAGACGTGCACTCTGTTTGTTTTCTAACTGCTTGTTTTCTTTAAAAAAGCCTCTAAAACTCTAAAATAGTTGTTTTTCTATTCTTTCTATTTGTTTTCTTTTTATTATATAATAAGGGAAAAAATCCTTGCTACGTGTACTGCGTTAGGCTAACTGAGACTTGTCATAGCACTTGCATATTATTGCTCTTTTGTTGATTTTGATTGCTTCCACTGTCCTCATTTGTAAGTCGCTTTGGATAAAAGTGTCTGCTAAATGACTAAATGTAAATGTAAATATATATAGACAAAAACATTATGCAAAGCAGCTGATTTTGACATAAAAGGATATAAGGTTATACAGGCCAACATAGGAGGGTTTTTCCTTAGGGAAAATAATTTTATTTCTGCTTTCTGTTCAATTTTAATCTTTTTTATTATTGTTTATTATCTTCATTTTGCATTTTAATTAGTATTTACTTTTTTATTTTGCCTATGTTTCTTTTTTGTTGAGGATATATTCTTATTATAAATTACGTTTTTGCTTACTAAAATATTCTCATATATAACGCATATTTAAATAATTGTAATATAATATTTCTGTATGTAATAGGTACTACCTATGTAATAACACACATGTGTATAGTTTTCCATGAGTGACAAGTATTTACAGTCGAGTGTCCTGCGTCATGACGCACTGGCGTACAGACGTGTACAGGCACGCGCTATGATAACCGGAAGCATCAATAGAGCGATTGAGAAACGGCGAAAGAAATCATCACCTGTCGAATGCGTTCATATATCTCTCCTGCGCTCCCATTAATCTCCATACCCCACTTCCATAACACCCATACCCTTTCGTTAATTCGCTGTCGAGTCGGTCTGGACGGATAAAGCAGAGCTGGCAGTGTAATTCTTTGCGCAAACGGGGGGTTTTGAAGGTGCGTTATAGCCTCGCAGCAGAACAAATGTAAACAAGCAGCTGATCAGCTGTGCGGCCGAAGACGCGCAACGAAACGGCGTAATGACAGCGACTCGCAGGGTTTGACAAACATATTCTGCATCATATAAAGCGAAATTAGAGATTTATTTGCATGCTGTAGAGTTTTTTTTTTTAGACGTTAGGGCAGTACACGAAGACAACTCCCAACCAACCCATCGCCTTCACCTCCATTGCGGGCAGCAGCAGATAAAGAACAAACGGCTTATTTATTTTTTATTGATTAGAAGGGTGATAAATAGATTTATTTGTCTTAACATCTGCTTGAAGATTGGATAACTTCACGCCTAACAGGAAAAGCAACAGGATTCGAGAAATAACAAAGGAAAAATAAGGTTAACAGTCCCTTCTGGGCCCCAAGGAATAAATAAATATCAGAAACGTATTAATATTTACATGAAGCTGGAACTTTAAGGCACCCAAACATCACATTTCCTGGGGAGCAGCACAGGTATGAATCTGTGTATGAACATGTTTTTATTTATCAAAATGTTGTACAGCTTTTGCATACAAACCTAATCATACATTTGTACAGCATTTTTATGTTTTTTCTTTCATTTTGCAATTTTGAAATCCCTGCAGGAGGAGCCAGTGGAAGGTTTCCGCATCACTCTGGTGGAGGAGTCTGACCTCTACAACTGGGAGGTGGCCATCTTTGGCCCTCCAAACACACTTTATGAAGGGGGCTACTTTAAGGTAAGCCTTGTGTGGATTTAAATGATGTTCTTGAATGCTTACCAATTGACTAGGTTGTTGTGAGTCAGACAAAGCAATTCAAGTCTGAATGATAATATTTAATTCTGAAGTATACCTCACATACTTGTTCTCCCATGTTTTGCACTCTCAAGTTCTTCTTTCCCCGGGTGGTGCGTTCCTTATACTCTAGAGCTCTATTTTTAGCCCGGACAGATATTAATGACATCTCGATATGAGAGCTAAAAAGAGATTCTCAGTGGCGTATTATCAACTGCAATAGTCAGTACTTTCAGTGACGCAGTCCTCAAATTTACCACAAAAAAAAAAAATCCTCAGCATTCCTTCATAGGTATATTATTGTATCATAATATGCCACAGGTCACAGTCTTTGGTGAAGTTTTGTTTATGAATTTAAGGTAGCTAAATTCAGTATGGCTAATTCATATATAAAAATGCCATTTTTGTTATGTTAAAATTCATTCTTCTGTCCCAGCTTAATAATTCACCCAAAAATGAAAATTTGCTGAAAATTTAGTCACCCCCAGGTTATCCAATATGTAGATGAGTTTGTTTCTTCATGGGAACAGATTTAGAGAAATTTACCATCACTTGCTCAGCAATGGATCGTCTGCAGTGAATGGGTGCCATCAGAATTAGAGTTCAAACAGCTGATAAAAACACACAATAATCCACATGACTCCAATTCATTGTGAAGTGAAAAGCTGCATGCTTGTAAGAAAAAAAAATCCATCATTAAGGCTTTTTTAACTTCAAACAATTGCCTCTGGCTAACAAGTCCTCTTTCCATAATATTGCTGCCTCTACATCTACATCTTGGATGTTCTGAGGGTGAGTAAATTCTAATTTGGGTGAACTATTCCTTAAATATAAGAGTAATTTATTATTTGATTCCCCCATGGGTTTTGGAGAAGGATTACATTTTGGTGCAAACAGTAAAACATTCAATATTTTTAAGTACACAGAAATTACACTCTTCACTTTTAAGTCTTCATGGAATTAATAGCAAGTAACTTCATAGTACCTCATAAAGCATCACATCACTTTTTGTCTTCTAAAACATATAACTGAGCAACTAGATCCCAACAGCATAGTCTGGCTGATATATGTAATACGGCATGTTTTGAGGAAGATTATGGTATCTTTGTAAACACAGGCTTGGGTTCCACCCATCAGACAAAGTATTTAAAATTTGCAGCTATCAGGCTTCAGCAAGAAATTGCATGGATATAGATATTGCGTCTTTGCTGAATAGCATTTATAATTTGTTATATGTCAAATGTAATGTGTATTTTCTTATTTTTTATATATGCAAGTTTTCCTGTGAAACTTCCAGTTTTTAGAGCTTCAAAGAGCTGTGTCATTTGTTCCCGTTTATTTCTAATGATCACAAATGGAGGAAGTTAGATTAGATCAGGTTTTAGCTTCTTAACACTAAATGCTTTGACTGAGACTCATATCTTGATTCACGCTGTCACAGTCACGCTGCGGTCTGACTTGTGCACTAGCCAGTTCGTGTAGTCAGACACATAATCAGCAGTCAACAGCAGTGGTGAGTAGCAGGATTTCCACTCGCAGAGAAGATACC